GCTTTTCGTTTTTTATGTAGCTTTTTGACCTACTTTTTGATTTTTGGACTTGTTTAAATTTTTTTTTTTTTTTTTTTTGCAGTATACAGAGAAGATGTGTGTAGACATTGGAGGGAAATTAATATTATTTATATGTAACATTTATAATAGGTTGACTCAAGATAAAATATATGATTAAATAACAAATTAAGAAACTGAATAAAATATATTTTTACCTATGTCAAATTTATTCTAACACATTAATACAGAAAAACCTATTGAACAAAAAAAACATTTTTAAAGAATTAGTTAACTAAAATTAAGTAAAGAGATATTTTCTAAAAACATTTTTTGACTTTTATACAAGTACAGATTCTATGTTATATAATCGAAGAGAAATTTATTTGTTACTTCCTAAAGTAGTCTTGAATTTATATTAATCTAAAGGCAGCTGAAAGCAAAGCTGCTACACGTTCAGACTATTTCCATCAATGATTATTTTTCTCCAAGCAAACTGAGTTTATTTATTATCATCAATTTACATATACCTAATAATTACTCTTCATTTGCCATTTCGAAGTATAGCTCAAATCAGTTAATTATGTATTTATAAAATTAACATATTTGAAAAGCGTATTATTGCACATTTTTAATCGCATTTAGATTGTAATTAGGCTACTTTGTTAGATAAGTCTATGCCCACACTTACGTATAGACATATACATACATATACATATACATGTACATGTATGTATGTGTTTACGGACCGTTTTCCATGCTGCTTTCCTCAAAGTTTTTCCGTGCAAAAATCCAATGTAAGCCGCCTGGTATCATAATTAAGCTACAATAACTTGTCATATTTAAGCCCTTGTGACAATGCTTACGGGTTGCTCGACATCCAGAGCACACTTGCTCCATCCCACTCTCTCCCTCTCTCCCGCTCTTTCTCTGTCTGCCTATATCTGCTTTACTGCCATCCATTTATCGTCTCTTTCTTTTTTTGTTGACTCTTTACAGACCTGGCTGTTGGGCTGCGCAATGTTAACGTTCACATTCCGTCGGCCGTTAAGCGCGGCGATAATGCGCTCTTAATCTGCAATTATGACATTGAGAACGACACGCTCTATGCGGTTAAATGGTATAGGGGCCGCAGGGAGTTCTATCGCTATACGCCCAAGGAGAAACCTGCCTGGAAGATATTCACGAAAACCAACGAAATTGATGTCGTGGTGAGTCTCAACTGCGTCTCGCAGTACCTCAAAGTCCTCATCATGACGTTCCTTGATTCTCACTACAAACGAAAGAGAAAAAGCTGATGCTGATGCTGTGGCTGATGCTGAAGAGCTGCCAACGTAAATTGCTGTAAATAACTGCAAAATGTTATACTTGTACACTAGCTGAGAGTTTTTCTGGTTTATCGAGCACGATGTAGCCATATGAAGATGATAGATGAAAATATGGTTTATATTTCCATTATAAAGTTTTTATAGAATATTTCGGTTAGCCCATAAATACATGAAGTTCACATTTTTATTTTTATTTTTATTTTTATTTATTTATTTTTTTTTTTAAACATTGTTTTTCTTTATATCTATATTATTTGAAAATTTGCATATACGTTTTAATAGTTATTTAATTTGTAATCTGTGAATTTATTGTTAGCTTACTTCATGAATTCATATATAGAGAACTTTCTCATTTTAGTCGTTATATTAAATAAATCAAAAATATTTTCTCAAGGCATTTGTATTTGTTCAGCCCTGCCTATTAATTGAGCAATGTTTTCTGTAAGGGCATTTACTATTCGTTACCTGGCAGAGGCTGCTATATGTGGTTGTTCTGGTTGTTGTTGCTGCTGCAGCTGTTGGATGTGGTTGTATTATCGACAACAACAGCACTGTAAACAGTTCCGAAGCTCAATATGTGTGTGTGCCTTTATGTTTGTGTGTGTGTGTGTGTGTGTGTGTATGTGGATCGATGTTTGTTTTATGCATGTTAAAAAGTTTTAATTAACATTTTTGACTTTTCACTTGCTGCTGTTGCAGTCGTTGCAGTTGTTACACACACACGCACACACACTTGCCATACATGTCCTCCATGTCCTGGTATTTCATCCTGTGCATTTTATTGTTGACTTTTGCTGACATTGTGAAAATTAAAAGCGAACTGCCGCAAAATTGTGTTCAAGCTGTTGCATTCAACATGTCTGCGGCGCAGCAGAAAATATCTTTTACAAGCACACGTGCATTCAGCACTCGTACTCTATTTGTTGACAAATATACATGTACATGTATGCATGTGTGTACAGATTGGTTTTTTTTTTATTTATATATAATAATCCTTTGCGCGTACAGTGGCTCAGTTTGTTGTGTAACAATCGCGAAATTACGCAAATGGTAATTATTGAAAAGTTAACTCCACAATTAAGATTTTATTCAACGAACAGGTCAAAGATCTGCTGCACTTTGCATTTTTATTTGCTCAGTGTGAGTTGAGCTTTGATATTTGTTGAAGGGGAATTTTATAATGAATCCTCATTTTTATTACTTTCCGGTTTTATTATACATATACATATATATATATAAAGCCAAACAAAATGTATATTTATAAAGCGAATTTAAGTATTAGAATATATGATATAGAAATTGGGAAGTAAATATTATTAAATTTATTGTATTATTTGAATACTTTTCTAGACTTTTTTCACAAAAAAAAAAAAAAAAAAA